GGTGCCGGCTTTCGCAAAACAGTGCTCAGGTTTTAACCTCTGCAGTTGCTAATGCTGCAGTTCTTGAGCGTGGATTTATTGAGTTGAACCTTCCGCCTTACAGTTCAGGTCTGGACCCCAGCGACTATTTTCTTTTTGCAAAACTGGAACGTGGCTTAAGGGGTAACTTTACGAAGATAGAGAAGTAAAACCTGCTTTTATGCACATATTGAAAACAAACTTTAGACTATTTTTATGGGGGTTCAGAGGAGTTAAATTTCTAATGTGTTGAAAAGCGATCTTGACAAATAATAAAATCTTTTTGGATTATTGTCGTTGTTAATATGCTTAGGCCGGATCATACCATGTAAATTGTACATAATTTTTGAAGAAAACGAAAATAATATTGTAAAATACTGAAAAAGTAAAATTTATAAAGATCGAGTAAGCATGGTCCAATAGCTCATGTTTAGTACCTGGTGCTGGAGAAATGTAATAGTATTAAGTGAATTTTTAGTTATCAATATAATAGTTGTAAATTTTAATTTTTCTCTTTTTACTTTTGTTAACTTGAAAAGTTTTAGAGTTCAAAACTTTTGTAATAAACTTTTTAAGTTTCGGCTCGAATTTTTAGTACTCGCTACCTTTATTTATTTTTTATCGGGAAACAAAATTTGCGTTTCACATAAGCCGTAAGAAAAAAAAAAGCAAGCTGTTTGTTTGAAAAGATGCAATTCAGAAGTAACCTGGGTTGCCTTTGATATGTCTTTTTTAATTTATTTTCCTTAAAAAATTGAAACGTTACATTTATTTTTTTTTTTGCTTTTGTTACCATAAACATTTACAGCTCAATCGCCAAACATTGCTGTTTTCGATTAAACTTTTTTTTTATTCGTATTTTACACCGTTACTTTTACTTTTAATACAAAAAGCTATAAAGTTCTCAAAGCTTTCTTGTTTAAAAAACTTTTGAAAGGTTTTTTAAATGTTAGCTTTAAAGTAAAAAGTTAATTTTAAGCTTTAAATACTATTTTGTGTTAATGACCTTTTAACTCTAATAAAGAGCTAAAAAGCAACAAATAAAAGTTACGACAGGGATAACAGCGTAAGTTTTCTTTTAAGACCTTATTGAATTGGGAGTTAGTAATCTTTAATTTTTAATTAGTATATAAATTTCTATTCTTTTAGACATGTATGAACTTTTTTACTGTATTTGGAAAAGTATTGCTTTTAGTTTTTACCATTGCAAATTCCATACATGAGGATACATCTCAGCTCATGCTAGAGTAAATTATGCATTAAATTAGTAAAGGTGATTAATTGAAAAGCAAACACTGACTCCTGAGAATATACACTAAAAAGTTGGTTTATTTTTTAATAAAAGCCTATGACATATCCCGTATGCTAATTTTTTTAGATGTTATGTTTATCAAAATTCGAAAACAGGCTTAAAAAGATATGTAGTTTTTATCATAATAGTGATAACAGTTTGAATTTGAGTCCGCTACATTGTAACTCCTGAAGATTTTTACTAGTAATACTAGATTTTATATTAAGGTTGATGAAACTAAATTTTATTTATTATTGTGCTCTTATTATTAATAATATGCTTTTATAAATCTCTGCTTAATATCGTGCTTATGTAAAAAATAAATTAAAAAAATTTACATTTATTAATTGTATAATCTAAAACTTATCATATCTTTATTAAAAAAAGTATAAACTGAGTGCTTCCAAAGATTACTTACTATTATCATAAAGTTTTATAAATAAGTTTAGAGGAAGCTCCGTTAAGGGCCCCGGTAAGGAGATTGGAAAAATTTAAAAATTTTTTAATAGTAATTTCATTTTATTCGAGTTCTTAAAATGTTAATAATCAGGCTGGTCTAAACTAAATTATTTCTGCATGGCAACCCTGTCGGGCTACAGCTTTACTCGTTCTTGAAATAATAAGAACATAAATTTTACAAAAAACCAAGGATATAGTTTGTCTAAACTCTACTATTTCTACACGGCAGGTCCAAAAATTATATTTTCTTTTTTAAATATTTTAGAACTAATAAAAACTTTTTAAGAGAAGCCTTTAAAATAGCTGGTTTCAATTGTATAATTTTTGCACGACAACTTTGTCGGTCCAAAAAGTTACTAAATTCTAAATATAAAAGCGTTGATCATGCAATTAAGCAATTTAAGGAATTAATAATATAATTATATTAGAGGTATAAATCAGTTCTAAATGCAACAAAAAAAAAACATTTTTAAAAAAATGTAAAGCCTCTTAATCATGTAAACCAGATACTTCTTCTCAATTTACAGTAAGCAAAAATTTGTTATTAAATAGAAAATAATTATATATATTATACGAAAAGCAACGACAGGCGAAAATGCTGATCTTTTTTTTTCTGTCTCCCTCAGCATTTTTTTTTAAAAACAATATTAAGTTATCTTACCATTAAATAACTTTTATTATACTAATAATGTTACTTATACTATAACAAAGTTGTGTTCTTTGATACAAATATATTAAGCATTGCAAGCTTGGCGTGGTATCAATTTTAAGATGAAAAAAACGGTTCCTTTTTTTTAAAATGTTACTGAAATTTATTGACAAACTTGCGGTTGTAAAAGAAATCATTTATAAACTGTCAAAGGCGATACTAAACGTTTTAGATACATTAGTAGGATGACACCTTTAAGCCATTTTATTTAAGTTAATAGAAAATTTAAACTTTTATTCATTTCGTCTTCTTTCAATATCAAATATTTATGAGTAAGAAAAAAGTTTATTTTTTAAAAAATTTTAATTTAAGGGTGAGAGAGGCAAATTTACCATTTTTATTCTAAATAAGTTTTATTTAAAAATTTTAAAAATATAAGTTTATTTGGACTATTGATATTTTCTTTAGATTCTTTCTTAGTTTTATTATGTGAAACAAAAAATAGTATATTGATATAAGGCATACTATTTAAGCTGAATATTCTCCGGTGGTTCTATCTAATTTCTTAATATGATATGTATCAAAAAATACTATTTCAAGATCGCTCCTTCTTTTTAAAAGTATTATTATTTTATTTATAGTTTATTTGTTTAACAAACTAAATAAAAGTTAAAAGTTTCAATGTTTCTGGTTTTTTTTTTATTTTTTTGATATTTTATTTTTTGATATATTTATATTTATAATGTATTAGGGGTTATTTACATAAAAACTAATTTTATTTTATTTATTGTCAATTAAAACGATCGCTTGCAGTGTTCTTGTATATTATATATTTAATTTATTTATTTGTCGTTTTGACATTACAGTCGTTAGTCGTTACTTCTGCTAGAACTTAACCCCTTGCGGTTACTGGTAACTGTGTTTTAACACTTATCACCTAGGTTCCATGTGCAAGCGTAAGTCAATGGAAATTGACCCTAAACAACAAGTTCGGTCTAAGGTTGAATACTATGTTCTAACGGATTAGACAGCAATCAACAAAACATAATAAAGTGATAAATTTAGTTACCATTGAATGTAAAATAAATCTATTTTGAGCCCCAGAGTTTTGCTCGTTAAAGGGTTAAACTGCTTATTCTAAATCCCTACATTACGGAGGGGGTTGAGGAGGGTAGCCTCCTTTCCCAGTTGAGGCCTCTCGGGTCATATCTCATAATATAAGGACAGCGATGTCTTTACGATTTAAGAGTTTTAACACACCCCCCACACCTATAAAAAAAAAAATTTAAAATATTATAATGATGTCATAAAAGTTCTAAAGACGTTTCAATAGTCGGGATTCTAAGATAGGCCCAAAAAAAGTTTAGGTAGTTTATATCCTAAAAAATGTGCTGGCTATAGTTCAAGGTGTTTGTAATTAAATTGTTGGGTGTTCTTCACATTGTTACGACAAAATTTTAATAAATAAATTTAATATAATTAATACATCTATTTGCATAAAAATTGTTTGTATTAATTTAAAAAATTATTTACTTTGTAAATATTTTGATTATCGTAATTATTTTTGGTAAATTTAAATAAAGGATAAATGTTTTTACTAAGATGGAAAAATTATTTTATTTGTTTTAAATAAATTTATAAAATTTAATCTAACTTGTAAATAATTTGTTTGTATAGAAATTATTTTATATAAATTAAAATAATTGCTTAAATTTTTTTACTACGCTAAAAAGACTTTTATCTACTTAGAGGTTCTACAAATTTTAAATTTTATATAAACTTAATTTACAATAGTAATTCTCTTGTATAACATAAAGTAAATGCTTAAATAAATTTACTACCATGGCAAGTTATTTAAGCTACGACGATTTTTCAGCTTTAATTCATCAATTTCATATAAATTTAATTGGCAAATATAAATTATTTTAAAAATAATTTTATTTTGTATAAAAATTGTTTTATATAGATAAATAAAAAATTTAATTCAATTCGTAAATAATTTGACATAGAAATTGGTTTATATAAATTTAAATAAAAGCTTAAATTCTTTTACTACGATGGAAAGATTATTTTATCTACTTCAAGTTTCCCCCGCTTAAATTTTATATAAATTTAAAGAAATTTAACATCGGGAAACAGAAGGTATAGTAAATGTCTCATATAACAGAAAGTGAATGCTTAATTAAATTAACTACGACGGCGAATTAATTTAGCTATGGCGAAGTTCCCGCATTATTTATTATCAATTTAATGAAATTTACTTAACAAATTTAAGTTAAAAAAATTTGTTTGTAGAGAAACTGTTTTATATAAATTTAAAAAAAAAATTATTTCAATTTGTAAAATAAGTGGAATGTATAGAAGTTGGTTCATATAAATTTGAGTAAACCTTATTTTCATTTTACTACGCCAAAAAGATCATCTTTTCCTATTCTAATACGCAACATTTACTAAATTAAATTAAAACTAATTTTGAATTAAATTCAAAATTATAATCCAAAAAAAAATTAAATTGTTCATCTTTTTATTAATAAGCCAAACACTGTTTGGAATTAACTTCAAAAAAAATTTAATTCAAAATTCCGGTAACTTTACATAAATCCGTACGTTGAGCGTCCAGCTCTTTGCTTCGAGCGACAAGAAGCCCAACTAAATTTTTAAAGTAAATTTAGATTAGAAAATTAATTTCCTTTTTTTAATAAAAAAGAATATAATTTGAGAAAAAAAAATTATAATTAACTTTTTTTATTAAAAAAAATTTGGAAATCATAAAATTTGTTGTCTTTTCATTAGTAATAAAATATAAAAATCGAAGTAAAAATTAATTTCTTTTTCTATTAAAAATAATTAATAATTATAATATAAATTCGAAATGAAATCAAAAATATAGATAAGAATCGAAATTAAAGAATAGCAGTTTTTTAAAAAAATAAGTAACTAATAATATAACTCGAATCCAAAATTCGAAATTAACTACTTTTTTCAAAATTATAATAATAAAATTATTTAAATTCGAGTAAAATTAGATATTATAATTAGAACTGAAATTTATATTTTCAAAAAATGATAAATTATAATAAAAAAATAATTTAATTTAAAAATTTAAAATTAATTAGTTTTTCAAATTATAATAATAATAAATAAAAAAATAATATAATTTAAATTTAAAATATAAAATTAACTATTTTTTTGAAATAAATATATAATAATAGTAAATAAAAATAATAATATAACATTTATGAAAATAATTATTATTAATTTTTATTTATAAAAAATAATAAATAATAAATTTAAATCGAAATAATTTAGAATCAAAAATTAAATTAAATTTTTCTTTTTCAAAGTATTAACAATAATAATAACAATGTAATTTAAAATTATAGTAAAAATTTATTTCTTTATTTTTCAAAAGAAACAAAAAATAATTAAATTAAATTCGAGATGAAAGTAAATAAAATAAATTAAAATCAAAACTCAAAATTATTTTTTTTAAAATAATAATAATAATAATTAATAATAATAATAATAATAATAATAATAATAATAATAATAATAATAATAATAATAATAATAATAATAATAATAATAATAATAATAATAATAATAATAATACTGTTCTTCTAAAGCTTCGGCATTCCTTTTGGCCTGCGAAGCCAAAAAAGTAATTTGGTGCTTTCGCTTCTGAATTCCAGAACCAACGCTTAACTTTTATAAAAAAATAATAAAAACTTTTTCATATATACTAATATATATAACGAGATATACAAGAAAATATAATAAATATAATAAAAATAATAGATATATAAAATTAATATTTAAATTTTTTGTATTAATAATAATAAATATCTAGAAATATACAAAAAAAATATAATAAATATAATTAAATTTATAGAAATAATAAATAAAAAATAAAAAACAATAAAAAACTAATAAATACAATAAAAAGTTTTTACAGTAATAGTAATTTAAAATAAAAATAGAAATAAGTATAAATTATTAATAATATAATATAAAAGTAAATATAATAATAATATAAAAAAAATGAAGTATAAAAAAAGTTATTAATAAAAAAAAAATAAGAAACAAAACAAGTTCTTTAGGTAATAAAAAAAATATGTAACTAAATAAGCTTTTTACTGTGAAAAATAATATATAAAAAGTTATTACTAATTAAAAAATAATAAATAAATAAATAACTTTTTACAAAATATGTAACAAAATATATAAATAAATTTTTTTATAACTATAAATAAAAAGGAAAACTTTTTATTGTAAAAAAATTATTAAAAAATAAATTGATAAAAAAAACTTATTTCTTTATAAATAATAAAAAGAAAATTATTTACTATAAATAAATATAAAAGATTTTACTATTAATAAAAATATACATATAAAAAAACTTTTTATATTTTATACGAATACTTAGAAAATAGATATATATAAATTGTAACTCTAAATAAAAAGGAAAACTTTTAAATGAAAATAAGTATTAAAAAAATTCTTTTTGCTATAAAAAATAAAAAAGTTTTTAGTATTAGTAAAAATAAAAAAAATTATATAAAATATTTTATAACTGTAAATAAATAAAAAATCTTTTCTTATAAGATAATATAAAAATAAATAAATATAAAAAAAAACTTTTTTTTCTATAAAAATATAAGTTATTTTTTATTTTTAGTTATTTTTATAATTAATATTGTTTTCTTTTGTATTTCTAAATAATTTTTTTATATCTTTCAATCAAAGTTGAGAAATAAAAAATATTTTAAAATATTTTTAATTTTTTTTAATTTTTCTACTATAAAACAATAAAATATATAAATAAAACTAAATAAAGATAATAAAAAGTAAAATTACCATCACGCTTAACGGGGCTTTCGGCTTTTCATGACCGTGAAGTTGAAGCCATTTTCGATTTTCTTCAAGCCGAATCGAATCATCAAAGTCAATAAGCTGGATGTTTTGAGGATGATTTTTTCCAAAAAGTTTTCTTAAACTCTTTTTTTATAAAATTTATTAATAGTATTCACTATTTTATATAATAAAACTTTTTTTTTACTATAAAAAGCGATAACCAAAAATGAACCACTCAAATAAAATATAAATGGCGCCAATCAATTACCTTATAAATAAATCAAGCTAATAATAACCAATAAAATTAGTTTTCACAGAATTATAACAAAATAAATAAGCTAATAAAAATAAAGTAATAGGGCAAATCAATAACAAAATATTTTATAAAAAGATAAAATATAAGTGACAAACAGTAAAACTTAATAAACTTTTATTAAAACAATTTGTTTTTTTATTTTTAAACTATTTTTTATTTAACAAATATATATATATAATTATGTAAAGTATTATCAAGAGAAAACTAAAAATGCATGTGTAAAAAAATATTTAATAAGAAAGTATTATAGTAAAATTTGGTATAATTTTTAAAAAAAAGATTTCTAATAAGGTAACGATAATAATATTAAAAGTAGATAAAAAGTTTATTAGTAAAAATTTTAATATAATGTTTATACTAAAATTTAATAAATATTTTACAATATTATTATTTTCAGTACAGAAAAAAAAGTTTTATAAAGTTAAAAGAAAACTTTTTATTAAGATCTTTAACAATTCATTTATAAAATAAGAATAATTTTATTATCACGTGGAACTTTTAATAATAGTATATAAAAAAAACAACTTTGTAAAAGAAAAACTTTATATATATAAAGTTTGAATTTGTTTGTAAATATGTACAAAAGCAGTGAATTCTAAAAATAAGTATAAAACTTTAATATAATAATAATAATAATAATAATAATAATAATAATAATAATAATAATAATAATAATAATAATAATAATAACAATAATAAAAAGTTGCAAAATAGTACATCATCGTGAGTACTTCCGGGTACGTGCAGGGTTACGGGCTCTTCTGCTACCGGTCGAAAAAACCCTTCAAATTGTATGATATTATTTTAACGTGCTTGAAAATAATAAAAGATTTATAAATCATTTCATTGGCTACTTTTCCTTATAATTATTTAAAAATTATTAAACAATATTTTTCCATGCAAAAACAAATAATTTTAACCAATAAAAATTTAAATAGTATTTAATTATTTATTAATAGTTTTAAATAATAAAATTTTTTGATGACCAATTTTTTAATGATATAAAAAATAATAGTAATAATTGAAGTGATAATTCTTATAATAATAATAATAAAAATAATAATACATTATAATGATAACAAAGTAAAGTGAACTATAATATGCACCGCTACCACGTGGAAACAAAACGAAGTTTTTTATTGGTGAAAGCGACTGTTTTACTTTTAAATCTTCAAAAAGTAAAGAAATAATGTGAAAATTTTTATACAAAAAAAAAATTAAATTTTAATTTTTTTTTTATAGTTCAAATTTTATAAAAATTTACCAAGTTAATTTTTATAAGAATTATAAAATAAAAATAAAAGTCAACTACCAAAATATGTAAGAAAAAGTAATAAAAACAAAATTAAATTCATAATTAAAATATATAATTTAAAAATTTATGTAAATCTTTAGTCAATCATAAATATTTATAATTTAATATAAAAATTTCAGTATTTTCCAAAATATTTACTTCAATAATTTTTAATATCCATAATAACAAAAACTTTATAAAAAACTAAAATTCAAATAAAAATTAAATTAAAATAGTTTTAACATCCTTAAAACATTTATAAACGCCTAAAATTTAAATAAAAGTCTTATAAGTTTACAATAGTGAAATCTTGAAATCCATCACAATTTATAAAAAAGAGAATCCATAAAAAATATTTTGAAATAAAAACAAAATCTCGATTCATAATTAAAACTTCCTTCTTCGTAGTACATAAAAAAAATTAATTATAAATATACATAATTTAATAATTTCTTACTTAATAGTAATAATATTTCAAGCTATAATAAAAGTTTTTTTAAAAAAATTATTTTAAAAAAAAAAAATTCAGATTTCTTTTTCTTAAAGCAAAAATAATTTAAAATTTTGAAGTTAAAATAGCAGATAACAATAACTACTCTACAGAATTTTAAATAAAATAGGTTAGGTTAGATTAAACGATTTTAAATAATTAATTTTTTTTTTAAAAAAAATAAGAGTAATTTTAATTTTTTATTATTTCAAGGTAAAACGTTAAAAATTATTTATTTATTTATTCAATTATACTAGTTTTATATAAAGATTTAAAAAATTAAAAACCGGCTTGGGGATAAGGTGCAGTAAAACTTTCCTCTTTCACTTCTGAAATCTCAGCTTTATTACTTTCCAAAGATGTTAACTTTTTATTTTATAAAAAATAGAAAATAGAAAAAAAAATTGAATTAGATCTTAAAAAAAAAAAAACTTCATTTTCTTGGCTAAAAACTTCGTCTTTATGCTTTTTATTTAATACATTTTTTGTTATAGCAATTCTCTTATGTGTGTCTGAATTTAAATTTGTAAGAATAAATAATATAAAAGGAATTTCAGAAAAGTAAATTACTAGCTACTTTTAAAGATCCACTTTTAGGTAAAGGAAGAAGAGAAGTCAAACTTACTTCTTTAGAAAAGTAATTTTTTTTTAATGGGACGCCACTACGTTTTAATTACAACACCTTTTATAAATAAAAACTTTACATAGTTAATTATAAACCTTTCTTCATCTGAAGAATCAAAATCTTTATTTGTAAGACTAATATATATTTTCTTTTTTTCTTTACGATTTCCAGTTATTTTTATTTCCCCATCATCATCAGAAGAGGAAGAATAATAATCTCCAACCAAGGACATTTTTGTTTGGAGTTATAATGGAAAATCCATAGGTTGTGTAGCCTTGAAAACAGCTCACGTTGTTAGCAGGTCCGCAAAGTTTGCT